TATCCTTATTGTAGCCTGCAGCTCTAACTGCCTCTCTGTGCACCGTGTTCACTTGTGCGCGCTTGCTGACGCTGGTCTCGCCGCTGGCTGGTTGGAGCAGCCTGGACCAAAATGTTTTTGTTGCCATTTGCGGAGCCTGGGCTGCCCACAAAGACCTGAATTTTTCATAGCATATTCATGTAGCTAGCGGATCGTGATGAGATGTTTGCTGTATGTGACAAAAACTTTTCAAGCTTAGGAAGACTTAGAGAGCCTTTTAAGAGTAAGAGAGTAGAGAGTAAGAGAGTTGGAAGCATAAAAAATATGAAATTCAACCTTACTCCAAAACTTTTTAGATACATCACAATAAAAAAACAGATGTGAAATTGTTTCTGTTTTATGATTGCAAAAAGTACAGCAGTCATCAACATCCATAAACTTAGCAATAACACTACTAACAGGGTATATATTACGCAAGATTTTAAAATGTATTTCTTTAGCCTTGTTCAATATGCAATATTTATGGGGTAAAAGCCAAGCTCTTCTCCAGTTTATGTCCTCTATTTGGGACCTCCAATAAAACTTGCCTCTAGGCACAACTCTATTTATTCTTTGAAAACACTGGCGAATATGTTTATTATTACACTTTCTGTTAGTTCAATTCCACTCAGCATCAGTACAGGTTGACTTGTTTTGTATTCACTGTAACTCAAGTGTCTTTTTATAAGTTGAATTAAGTCTTTTAGGATAGCATGAGTTACAGAGATAAATTCTCTGAAGGGAACAGGAAAACTGTGTACAGACATAAAACGTTCATAAGACAGCATATCACCAGCGTTATCAAAAAGATTGAGGATATGGATGATATCTCTTCGAAACCATTTAGGAAAGAATAAGGATTTGTTTCTTATAAGAATATTACTGTTATTCCAGTGAAAAGATTTGTGGGGTGAGAAATTGTGGACAAAGGACAGCTTCCATGCTAGAAGGGCTTGCTGGTGAAATTTTGACAGTTTGATTGGAAATCTATAAGGTAAAAAGTTAACATTTCAAAAGAAAAGAGAGACCTCCAATTCCATTAAAGATGTGGTATGGGATGAAAATTAGGGGGTCTTTATTATTAGGGGGTCTTTATAGGGTTTAGGAATAAGAAGTATAATACCCTGCTTCATTGTAGCTGTCATCTCTCCCTGAATGATGCATTCTTTGTACATGCATAATAGAGGGTTTTGAATAAATTCCCAAAAGTGAGTATAGAATTCGACAGATAGGCCATCAATACCTGGTGACTTTCCTTTCTGTGTTGAAAATAAAGCATTTTTAATTTCAATAGCTAACAGGTCAGAGTCACATATAGATTTGAAATATTTGTTAATTGAGGGAATATTAGTCAGAATTTTTTCTAGAAAACTTGCACAATCCAGAAACAAACTCACTGATCAAATTCGGATCTTTAGAAGGCACTAATATTAAGGGCAGTTAACGACTGTCTTTTAACATTTCTTTTTTTATAGAGCAAAAAAGTAATTTGCGTTCCTTTCTCCTTCCTCTAGCCATGTGGCCCTTGATCTAATAAATGCTCCTTTTGCCAAGTCTAGATAAAATTGATCCAGTTGTAACTGGATGTTCTTTACTTCGAGCTCTTCTTCTAAAGTAATTTGTTCTTCATTGAGTAAAAGTTTAAATTTGTGCATCAAATCAGTTTCTAGCTTATGTTTTTCCTTCTTTAATTCTTTACTTCTTTTGATAGCAACATACCTGACTTTATATTTAAACAAGACAATGCTATCTTCATTGTTTGCAATATCTATGGTTTTAATTCTCATGCCTCCAACAAGATCTTATTTAATGAAATAATATCAAAATTGAAAGAACTGCACAAGAAATACCATGGTTCACATATGACTTTGTGTATGCCCCCTTATCGGACCATAAGCAAATCTTTTTAAAGCTAGCTGCTAACCAGGAGACCTCTTGTATGCAAGTGTAACCGGGTGGTTATTTACAGTGTAGATATTGTATTTCTTTACTGTGTCCCTCAGTCTGTTTATGTTGCAGCAGGCATGGCGATCGCGGCAGGTGTGTGTCACGCCCCTTACCGGCACCCGTAGTGCAGCCGCGTTATTGGCTGCTAATGCGGACCTGTTCATATACCCCTCCGCTGTCGTTTAGTCGCTCTCTCTCCCCTGCGGAAGCGAATGCTGGCCGGCGTGCAGCTCCGCTGAGCCGTGGTTTCCCGGCGTAGTATGTGCCGTGTGTTCGTTCTCCAGGTAATGTGTAGCACAGTCTCATGATGCTGTCAACATGGCACCTTATAACATCTTCACAGCATCATGAGACTATTCTCCAGGTATGTGTAGCACAGTCTCATGATGCTGTGAAGATGTTATAAGGTGCCATGTTGACAGTTCTCTGTTGTAGGTTGGCGTGTTGAGCCGAGGTGTGTGTGTGTGTCCCCTTCCGGTTAGCCGCCGCTGCCGCCGTTAGCTTTCAACAGCTACATTATTGATTTGTGCAGGCTACAGCTGACCACGCAGGTAAACAATGCCACAAGCTCAATGTTATTTTGTTTGCTAGTGCTTATGTAGCTTCTGTATTGGTTACTAATGCTCACTCTGTGTCTCTTTTAAAGTTTGCCTGGCGTTAGGCTGCTGTTTTGCCCTGCCTTGCCTCTTACCTCCATAGTTTGTTTTCTTTTTGTTTTGCCTGGCTCACTCAGACAGCCGCTCTGCCTTCGTCGTTTAGACGCCCTTTTTTTTAAAGTAGTGTATTGTAGTTCAAGACTGACTTCAGACCGTGACTCCTTAGTGGGGGGTGGGAAGTTAACACAGCATTGAGGACCTGCTAAATTTATGCATGCAGCATGTTTATTTTTGTTCTTTTTTTTTTTCTTTCGTTTTGATTTGAGTTTGCAGTTGTTTTGTATATATTTTGTTTGGTTTCTTTTCTTTTCTTATCTTATTTGCGCAGTTGACCTCAAGAAAAAAAAAACAGCTAAAGTTGTTAACTCTCTCTTTCTGACTTAACTTTTGAGTCACTGATACAGATTAATATTGTACTCTTTGGAAATAAAAAGAACTATATAATTGTTTTTTTTAAAGAGAAATAACTTAATAAAGAAATTATTTTATTGTGAGTAATAAAACTTGTTAAACTTCTTACATCATGCCTGTATTCATTTGTGTAACTTACCTGTGTATGGGTGATTTTTTTGGGAAACCCTCTGAGAAATTAAAGCGGAAAGTAGATTCTTTAGGTGCAAGTCCTAAGGTGGCGTTGTTGGTGCTAATTCTCCAGATCTGCCTCTCGCAGTTCAACTGGTCTTGCCACACAAGGTTATTGGAAATTCAATAATTCTCTTCTAAAAGATGTGTCTTTCAACAATATCGTTAAAGATCTTGCACAAGAAATTCTTAATGATGGCCTAAATTATAAGAAAAATGGGAGTTCTTTAAAGGGGCAAAAAGCGAAATCCTTTCACCGCTAGGTTTGCTGTTGTGCACTGCCTGTAGACCAAAACAAAGTGTGTTATGAGCCACACCTCCCTCTACCTCTTCTTTCCAAGAGGAGGAAGGGGGGGGGAGATTCACATGAATGTACATGAACGCGCACCCGGACCGGCTTGTAAACAAGGGGCTGGAGATCAACACAGAGAGAGGTCATGCTATACTCCAGATGAAATTACACCTCTAGTTCTTCACATAGCAATTTTTTAATTCCTTCAATCTAGAAATGATGAATTTCGCTTNGGTCATGCTATACTCCAGATGAAATTACACCTCTAGTTCTTCACATAGCAATTTTTTAATTCCTTCAATCTAGAAATGATGAATTTCGCTTATTGCTCCTTTAATTATTAGTGCAATCAATCTACCATTACCAGAAGGCACTGTTTCAAGAACATCCCCTTTAAACTTGTGTAGAAAAACTAACACCACAGCCGAGTGATTAGTGCCGTGGCTAAAGTAAGCAACGTTACCCCATTGTATTTTCCAAAACTTTTTCTCTGACTCACAGGAATGTGTTTCTTAAAGTAAATTTAAGTCAGCCTCAGTTCTCCTGCAAAGCAATAGGACCGCTGTCCTCGTAGTGATGTCCCTAATACCCCTGACATTTAAAGACATAATATTAAGAGAGTTAAACTTAAAATCCATAAGACAGAAAAAAATAGGAGAAAAAACAATTGGACACTATGAAAACCTTGGAATGTGCTGAAGAAAAACCACCAAAATGAGGTGGTGATTAACAACCGTTTAAACAGGCCAACACCAAGTAATAATGTAATTCTGTAGCTTTAACTAACATGAATTTAAAACAGAAATAAATCAAGTTTTAGTATAGGCAGAATCTATAAACTTAGAGGATCCTCAATATTATGAAATATGATGAATGTAACAGTTAAAACAACTGACAGTATAAATGAAGGGTGGAAATCATTTCCATAAACCAGTAATATGTCAAAGGAAAGGATATTACTATAAAGAATTGTAATATCTCCTAAAAATTAAAGTTGCCCATGAATCAATGGGTTAGACTCATATAATGTAGCTATTATTTGTGTAAACAACTTGTATCTGTAAGTGAAGCTCTTCTAGCTTTCTTTTTTTTTTAAATAAAATAAAATAAAATTAAAAAAAAAATGCCCATAAAACGTTGAGCAGGTCACATTTAGCTTTGTATAGCCTAAATGGTGAATTGTTCATCAGTAAGCTCTTATAGCTTAACCGGAGAAGAAAAGTAAAAAAAAAAAAGAAAAAAGAAAAAAAAAGCACCATTTGGAGAGAAATGAGGATAATAAAAGTTCCATTAATAATATCTTAACAAAGTTTCTCAATTAACAATGTTAACAAGGTGCAGTTTGGGCGTTAACAGAGTATGTTTGAAAAAGAGCAAGCAGGTAAAAATTACCTGAGTATAGGTGAGCTTACATTACTCGTTATCTCTAAAGAGTCAATCTTCTTCGCGTTTATAAAAACAAACGGGCCACGGAAGGAGGCTTTCTTCCCCTCCTCTCTTGCTTTTTAAACCAGGGGCCACAGTTTCTCCATCGCTGCCTTGTCTTCTGGTGACAGCGCTTCGGTGATTCTCAGTTTTTTGTCGATCAGGAACTTGGAGCCTTTAGTCTCTCTCCATATCGCGTCCCGAAGACGTCTCAATGGAAATAAGATGATGGTCGACTTACTCGATCCGTCCTGCCGCCACTGCCCAGCGCGATGTACGATGTCTAGGCCCTCTTCCAGATTGTTGCGGAGTTTGGGAGCCGTATTACCCAGGATGTCAATAATCTTGCGCCGTATGTCCTCTCCCTCCTCCTCTTTAACTCCGTGCACCTTCAGAGACCATCTTCGGTTGTAACGCTGGCAATCGACGATGTCCTTTTTCAAGGTCTTGTTCTCAGCTTGCAGTTTTTTTATCATGTTTTTCATGCCATCCACTGTTTGTTTTTGTTGGTCAACGTCCAGAGTAACCTGCTAGATGGTTGCAGTACGGAAAGTCTCATCTTGCTTTTCAGAAGGTACACGAATTGCTTCTAGTATTTCCGCATTTTCTCTGCCGCCTGGCTTTAGCTTCTTTGTTGGAGGTTTCAGCGGAGTGTCTGGAAGTGGGACAGCGAGGCAGGTATGTTGAGAGTCTTGGTTAGCCTCAAACCAGTTAAGGTCCTCCATTAACTCTTGTCCTCTCGCCGGGCCCGTAGCTCTAAATGAGATCCCCCGCGATGATGTAGAGAATGTGGGGCCGACTGTTAACGCCCCTAAGTTTAATTTGTAGAAAGCAGTTGCAATGGTCTGTCCTGTCCACCAGGAGGAGCAGTAAGTGTGGAAGCTGAAGCGGTTTACTGCGCCTCTTATTATCCAATCCAATCCAATCCACTTTATTTATATAGCACATTTTAAAAACATAAAAGTTTATCAAAGTGCTGCACAGTGATTTACAATACAGAAAAGTGTAATGAGGATATTACTGAGAGAGCTTCCCACACAGAGCATATTTAATGATTATCAGGCTACCACATCATAGGTCATAAATATTATGCTTCAGCATTGTTATTCAAAAGGATTGCATGAAAATTGAAGTGATATGGCTGGGAACTGAGAGACTGAGTTTATCTGCAATGGTAATGGTAATAATGTCATATAATACCATTATTATGGCTATATAAATGTAATTTATGGTGCTGTTAGATTGCTGTTACACTCTGTAAACTCTTTTTACAGAATGTGCGAAACACAAGGATTTTTTTTAACCTCAGTGAAAATGTTGTTTTTCAAAGACTACTCGCCAACAAATATGGACTGAAGCAGAAACTTTCGTTAGATAAAAACAGCTTGTGAATATTGGAAATGATTACAGAGATCTTTTTTAATTATTATTTTGACATTCGGACTGTACAACACTCTACATATGCTCTGCCTGCCGCACGTAGCACGACTTCACCTCATTTATCTGTCTCAACAGATTCATGGAAGCGATACTTCACAAAGCGCCGCTCATTCAGCTGTTCTACATAGTGTGAAAATGACTCCTCGGCTCTTCTATTTATCACATGATTAGCATTATGTTGTACCCTTTTGTTCCTACTGAATGGGCCATTGCCATTGAGTGGCCATCAGAACAAGATTCCCAGCCCCCACACTGCGTTTGCAGCACTTGTCTGAGCAACTCAATAATACCAATAATATGTATATCTTACAGTGGCTATGCAGTATTTATATAGGCTATATTTAGTTTATGGTGCTGTTAGACCACCCTGCCAGGTGCATGCCTCCTCTTAAAATTATGTGCAAAAGCCTAGAGCAAACTATTATTTTTTGTGTGCATATTTTAATCCTTAATTACTCCATGGCATTAATCATGACTACGAAACAGGAGAGAAAGGTTCTGGTTTTGTGGGGTTTTTAACTAATTTCGTTAGTTTAAAATATGAAGAATTGTAAAATGTCACTTCGATGAGGCTGTCAGTCAGTCAGTGAGAGATCACAGGCTGATATTGGCCGCGTTTCCTAGTTAAGAGAGATCTTAAGACTTAAGAGCACAGTTAAGAACGTCTTTGGTAAGAAGGGTCGCTAAGATACGAGTGTTTCCCAGATGTGTTCTTCATGCCCTTCTTAGGGTCACCCTTAAGATCGCTCTTTAAGGAAGCTCTTAACAGAAACTAAATCAATCGATGTCAGGCACATCGATCACCCACCACTTAATCAAATTGCAAATTGCACCAGGTTGCCCTCTGGATGTGTGGAGACACTAGTTGATCAGGCGTTGTATCTCAGCACAGGAGAGCCATTTGGACAGCCCGGTCTGACAGCATGTCAAGTGGGCTGAAGTGCTGACGCACAAATGCATTTACATATATGGTTTGGCTTCGCACACGGCGACGCTGTTGGTTAGCAGCGAGAATATGCTGTAAAGCAGCCATGGTATCTCACACATGTGTGATGTGGCAATGCCTTTATATAGAGTAGCGGGTGGAGCGTCCCTTGATGAGGGTCCAGCTGAGCTCAGTTACACCTTTCAGTTTCCTGATATCTGTGAAATGTCGCAGGCTTGGAGGGTGGATGTGTTTCTGTTGTGCCCTGACGCATTTTTTGGATGCGGTAAACTATCTGATATATGCATGCAGATGTGGGATATGTGCGGACATATTATGACAAATGATAGTCATGATGATTCATTTTATTTGTGTGCCTGATGTGCACAGCACATACAGGAACACACTTGTTATTCCTCATACTTATTTTTCGTCTTATTATTATTTTTCTTCCGCCAGATTTCGGTGCGTAACTTGTGCCACAGCTTTGAGCGCACATAGGGTCTTCATAAAACATATAGATTCAAGATTCAAAGTGTTTATTGTCATATGCACAGTAAGGACATGCGTTTCCCTGCAGAATGAAATTTGTTCTTTTCTGTCACCAATTAATGCTAAACAATATAAATCTGAAGTATAAAATAGATCAAAATATATACGGTGCGCACTGTTTTAACATCTCCTTGCAAAGTGTAATATTAATTTGCCTGACGCAGCTGGATCTGTGAACATTTGGTCACTAAGAAGACTGTTAAGAGTGGGTCAGCTCGATCTTACAACTCCTTCTTAGTCAAAGATCTTCTTAAGCTAAGAGCGATCTGGGAAACGCGTTTTTCTTTCACGGGAGGCTTAAGAGCGTTCTTAAGAAGCTCTTAGCCCTTATGAAAAAGAAGTTTATTTAAGTGTGTTTCAAGTATACTTCTTTTAAACTAAAAATAAGGGAGTACACTTTCAGTTTACTTTTTATGTACTTATCAGAAATATACTTAACAAAGTTATAGTTAAGTATACTTGGCTTATACTGAAAATGATATAAAAAGTCTAAGTATACTTAGCTAATACTTATACTTAAACTTCTGATCCAGATATACTTAACAAAAGTATAATAAAGTATTAAAATATTTGTGCCTTATGTTTAAGTATACTTGGCTTGTAATTGTGCTTAATTTTTTTTGTAGTAGCCTATTAAATACATTTTCACACATATTGGCTTCTTTGTGGTATACTGCAACATGTTTTAAATTTTATAATCTATTATATGTTGGGCATATGTTCCATATTTAAGTTTGTGGTAACAGGTCAGCTTTGGGGTGAAAAGCTGAAGAGTGAACAGTGGTGTAACTGAACCTGATCTCTCATGCACAGTGTTATTAACCCACACAGAGACAGATAAATATTTGTCAGATTTTTATTGGAGACCAAATCTGACCATTCTCATTTGACAGACTTAATACCAAAATACATGTGACTTTTTAAAATTCAACAAAAACAAGTACAATTGCCAAAGGAACAGTCTCCACATATATCTCAGTTATTACAACACTGGACTTGTGATAGGACTCATTAATGCTTTTAGTCCCGTTCATAGAAATTAGGCAAAGGTGTAATGTACAATCAATCAACCGTTACAACAACAACACATTTCATTGTTATCATATCAGGCCAGATGGCACTTAAGTTTCCAGTCTTTTTAACCTCATGTATGAAAGTACTCTGTACATTTATCTGTGAATCTTTACATAAAGGCCTGCTAGATTTAGCAAGTACCTCAACCAACACACAGCAATGTTTGGTACATGCACAATATCCAGGGTTTTGATGTTCACACATTTGTTTAAAAATGACCAAGTCATTAATTAAACACAGTTTACCATCTTTCAAGTATACAGCACTGTTGAACCTTTTCTTTAGTCGGTTATATTTTTGACTGTGAGACAGAACTCCATCAACCAAAAAACGGCTGTAAGACCAGAAGCAGTTACTTAGATTTCCACACAGCTTAGCAATGGCAAGCCGATGTGAAGCTGGCATATTGTCCTGCAGTGGGGGGTGCCCAAAACCCTTGACACTTCCATTTAGTGTGTCACATTTTTCTGTTCTTCGCTTATTAAAATAAAGTTCTTCAACGAATGACTGAACTTTTGTATTTGTAGGTGATAGTATGCTTGGCCTTTTCTGGCAATTCTCTCCACAACAGAAATGTTCTAGCTATTTGTGAGGGAACATACTGTGTTCCATGAAAATACTTAAGTAGAGTACCCATATTAGATTCAAATGCAAAGGTTGAAGTAGCCCATAAAGGCCCCAAGTGTTTTACACTTTGTGGGACATGTGTGAGCAAGTGTATGTTGAAAGTCATGTGGTCTTTCCCATAAAGTCTTTGGAATTCAATTACAAATTTTTTGAGAGCCAGTTCTGTCATCAAGATGCTGCTAGTCTTGATCTTATCCTGCAGTAATGTATATATGCTGAACACCAAAAGGAACAACTGATTCCAAAATCTGGCAGGGAGTATGCCTTTCAAAACAGGCAGAGCATAGAAGAGGAGAAAGGCTTGCCACTCTGAAGCTTTCCAGAATTTCCTTTCACTCATTGACCTTGGTGTCCTAGTTATCTCAACAGGAGGTTTTATTTTTTCAAGTCGCAAATCAACCTCTTTCATCTGTTTACCAATGTACCAGGGGGCTTCACTGTTTGCTGTATCAAACCACAATGTGGACAGTTGCCGAGTGACTCCAAGGCACACGTTGTGTTGATATTCAGGAATGAAACCATTTATCATTTGGAAGTGACCAAGCTTCATTAAAGGAGATGGGCCTTTGACTCCAAACACTGGCTCATCAACTGACGCTGACATTGCATGACTGAAATGATCTCTCTCATTTCGCAGGGGGGGTTCAGGTCTATCATATGGATAGGATTTCCCACCTTTGTGATAACAAAAATCACAACCATAAAAGCCGTTGAACTGCTTTGTGTTACGAAGCAATGGCCAAGCCATCGAATCAGAGCTACAAATCAGCACAAACACTTTAGAAACATGACAGTTTCCCTGTATGTCTTGCCAGTCAACACCTTCAGTCTCCAATGACGACGCTTCTTTAACAAATGGTGTTAGTAATGTAAACATGGATGGTTTACTAGGTCCAAACCATAACGCTGACATCAAAATGTGGTTTTCCCTCACATCTGGTTGCAGTTCAATGACCTGACACTGAATTGGCCAAATGCTGCATTTTGAACTTTTGAAGACTGGTGCGCCATCGCAATTCCAAATCAGCATCAAATCATCTTTCCCAAGAACTCCACTGTTACATAACTTTTGATACTCTTCACCAGACTGTATGTCAGAGAGAATCCCCAAAGTTTTAGTTTTGACTTTAAGACTGGCACTGTGTTCTTGCAGAAGCTGCTTAATCTGTGCACGCAGGGGCAACACAAGAAAATAGAAGCCTTTTTTCAGGTTTGCATTGGCATCAAATAGTGTGTTGCAAGAGTCACATTGAGAGGGACAGTCAGCTCTAATGCCAAGGTATTTTAAACAGCTTTCACAATAAAAGTGAACTTCAAATGTAGATGATCTTCCAAATTCTTTGTGGAACAAGTAATGTGAAGATGGGATCAGGCCTGGAAACATTATGTTAAACATTTCCAGCAAATGAGTAAGTGCTTCACCAGTTAAATTGTGCCGCAACACATAGGACATCAGCATCAGTAAGCTTTCTCCTTTTGAAAGTGGAGCACCGGGATACAAGGGCTTGTCACCAGTATCTGCTTTATCTTCACTGTCCTAGAAGAGAGAAAGAGAGAGAGAGAGACACACAAAAATAATAAAATATAGATAAAATATTAGGCCAGTGTGACACCTACAAATGTATGGTCACAACTGTTAAGTTGAAATTGCTGTTTTGTGTATTTTTCTGTGAAAAGAGGTCAGATTTAAATATGTTTTATTATGGGTTAAATCTTTATTTTGCAAAGTACAATTCCGTAACTCCATAGCCACAAGAGGGAGTATCCACCAGAGTGAGCGCAAGGCTTCCGTTCCTCAGACAGAGAACAGCCTGCTTGACGAACACAACTAATGTCTCATGTCTCTGGTTTTCCTGTATCAAGCAGTTTAGTAATGTGTGCTAACTTCTCACAACTTATCCATAAGGATTTTTAAAGCCTTTCTGATATTGTTTGGACTGAGTTTGAAGTAGAAAACTGTGTGTTATAAACTTTTAAGCGAATGCAAACTAGTTTGCTCCCGTGAGTGAACAGTGATGTAAAATGGCGGCCTCGCTGTCAGTGTTTTCATTTAGTGGCAATGCTTCTGTAGCTCCTGGACATTTTTCTGTGATTTATGTGGTTTAAAACAATAGTTAAGTCAAGACCTGTCCTGCCTTGCACTGAACACAGAGAAAACTGTGACACTGCACATCGCAAACAAACGAAATCAAAGTGTCCTAGCATCTATGTAGGGGGCCAAATGCTAAAAAATGTTGAGGGATTCCAATACCTGCACGTCATCCTAGATTCCTCCCTGACTTTTAAAAAACATATCAAAAAGGTGTGTCATGTTTTGAAACTCAACATCGTAAACTTTCGTCACATCAGAAACTCGTTATCAACTGAAGCCGCTAAGTCATATCTGAATGCCATGATACTGTCCCACATTTTGTACTGTAAATCATCTTGGTCTCAGGCTAACAAGACTGCTTTAATTCCAGTTAGAACACTCTATAATCAAGCTCTGAAGATTCTGGATAAGAAACTTCAGCAGCACCATCATTGTAACATACTTGAGAAATACAAAATGTTAAGCTTTGACAACTTAATCATGAATTTGGATATTCGCTTAGTACACATAATGCTGCTCCCCCACCTTTAAAAAACTTTGTACAGGACTGCTCTGAGCTGTTGAGCAGAACCTTAAGGTCTGCATCCAGGGGTGACTGCAGCATTCCAAAAAGAAGCTCTGCCTTTTCCCAATCAGCCTTTTCCTATAAAGCAAATAAAGAATGGAATAGGCTCCCTAACAATCTAAAAAATACTACAAACTACCACAGTTTCTCCTGTGATGTTAAAAATTGGATACTAAGAAATCAGTCTTGTCAGCATTGAGGTGGATGTCAGATGTTACCCTCGTGGGTATCATCTGACAACTGAGGGAACACGTGGTGCTAACTTGAAGTAACTGTAGGTATTGCGTTGACGAATTGAGCACTTTGTATTGCCCTACAGGCGCTTTGCTCTGGCTGTAGGTTTGGGCACTTTACTCTTGTACGGTATTTTGTGAACTTGCTACTGTTGACTGTATATTATGTTATGTTTGTATTTGTTGGTCAGTTTGTCTCATTGTGTTTGTTGTTGTCTTATGTGTTTTAAGGACTACAGATGGAAATTAGCTTCTTTGCTAAATCTGATGCACACATCTCGTTGTTCTTATGAATGACTAATGTAAGTGCATATTGTCCTTTATAAACTAAACTAAACTAAACTAAACTAAGAGTTTAATCTAAAATGGGTTGTAAATACTGTATATTTTGAGTAGCGATATTTCAATGTCAGCGGTAGCTCATTCAGGCCTATGCACTTTGTTAATGTGATAAACTGAGATATTTTTGCAATGGTAATTGACCAAAATGTGTTTCTATAGTGTATTATTGTTGTATTTGGGAAAAGTGCTCATATATATGCAGTGAAACAGCGAAAAGCTGAACAAAAAAAGCTTAAAAACAGTGTTAAATTTAATTGTAAAGTATTGTAAGCTGGTTAAAGCAGCAGTAAAACTGAGTTGTCATACACATTAAGATTTTACAGCAGTATTTGGTAACTTAATTAGTGCTAGACCTACATCCCAATTTTAAGCAGAAAAATTACAAGCAAAGGGTTATTTTCAAATCCATTTAGCTCATGTTCATTTTTGCACTAAATGCGCTACTTTCAAATTTTTAAGATAATCGACGAGATATATTATAGTAGCAATTAGAGTAGTAAATTAATAACTAGGGGTGTAATGTTGCCTGGCTTCAGCCCCTTAATCGCTAGCCACATCCATTTTAAAATTCTGAATTTGCTACAATTAAGGATCTGGCGATGTCTATCATCTAGTGCGATGTCGGAAATCCAATGAGGCCACTGTCTTTTGAATGCTGACATCATGTAAATACCATGCATTTTTGTATGTTTTTTTTTGTTTCCAGTTGTAAATAAAATTTGAAAGAAATATTCTGAATTTTGGGAGTTTGGAGGGCATACTCAATTTCCCATTTACAGGCATTGTCATTTTGAAATACTCTGACATCTAGGATGCCTTGCACTACTACCTATTTCCTGAAATACAGCTCACACAACTATAAATCAATACATCATATAATGACAAGAAATATTTGCAAGGCAATATACCAGTCTCACAAGGTGAGACACAATCTATGCACAGCCCATATCTATTTTTTTAAATTTTTTACATTTTTTTAAATTTAAATTTTATATACTTTATTAATCCCCGAGGGGAAATTCAATTTTTCACTCTGTTGTCAATTACACACAGGTCCGAACACACACATGCACAAACTGGACCTATACATGCACTAAGTGGAGAGATCAGTGTCAGAGTGGGCTGCCCATGACAGGCGCTCTGAGCGGTTGGGGGGTTTGGTGCCTAGCTCAGGGGCACCTCGGCAGTGCCCAGGAGGTGAACTGGCACCTCTCCAGCTACTAGTCCACGCTCCATATTTTTGGTCCGGACAGGGAACTTGAACAGGCGACCCTCCGGTTCCCAACCCAAGTCCCTATGGACTGAGCTACTGCCGCCCCCATCTATGTTAGCCAACCAGAAGGAAATAGCTACTAGCTCATTCCTCTATTCATTTTATGTATTGGGTTTCTCTAAATGAGCTACTCCGCTATCAATAAACCATTTACTTCTTACCATTGACAATTGAGATGTGTTTTCTCCACTAGCATTGCACTCCAAGTCTTCACTATCCACATCGTTTTCATCTTCACTCCTGGCAGCATCAAGCATGTCTCCTTCAGAATCTGACAGGTCTTCATCGTTCTACAGGTTAACAAGGAAAAAGATGACTTGACAGAATATCATTGAATCGAAAGTTTAGGCATTTATTTGACTAGAGATAAAACTTGTGTGATTAGTGTGTATTTACCGCTTGAAGGTCTGGACCCAACAGGGTAGTTGTGGGCGAGTTTTCATTTTCTTCTTCATCGTCTTTGTCTTCACAGTTGGAAGCATTACCCATGTCATCTTCTGTGTTTTGTTGGTCAGCTTCATTGACATTCTACAGGTTAACAATGGAAAGAGAATTAATTATTGAACGAAGGAAATAATGACATTGAATTCATGCAGGCCTTCTGTTGTTTTTGTCCCAATGGCTTGGTGCATGTTGGGAGAAGACAAGTAGTGGGAGACTTATTTTGTCATTTGGCCTGAGGGTGGCACTGGAGGAAAGGTCACGGGTTCACCACAATCTAGCAAAATCTTTTTTAGGGAGTAAAAATGCAATCATCAAGAATCACACCAATCCACAAACTACATGTAATATCTAGTGTGCAAAGTTGACATTGTGGCGATAGAGTGGCACTGGATGAAAGGTCACAGGCTCAACACAACTGACAGGGTTCATCCTCTGAAGATCATGGATGTGTTTACCAAATGTATTGACAACTATTCTAGTACAGCTTGGCTTCACCAGACAAATTCACAAATGTGAATTAGTCTGGAATGGCACAGTTCATACAGAATTCTCAAGGAGCGTTTACCAACAGCTGCAGTTCAAACTGCTTATGGACGCAATTGGATACACCTACAACCTATCAGAACAACGAAACCTGTGACGGTGTGCAGGACCCCACCAGAGGGGCCTGTGGGTAGATTAAATTTGTATCAAATCCTGCCAGAAGTAAGGCAAACACATTTTTCATATCTACAAAAGCTTTAAGTGCAGTTGTTCTTCTTTTAGAGACAATATACCATCCAGTTTGTTTAATCCCTAACTGGAAGAGATGCAAATGAGTGAGCCAGCAAGTATCAGAAACTGTGTAGTTTCATAGATTTTCATGCAGTTCTAAAAGTTTCAAGATTAAACTGAGCTTTCGTCCCGCCATTAAACAGCTCTGAATGAGAGCAGACTGAGTGTTATTACTGCATACACTCGGCTTCCGCCTCTCCGCCAAGGCTATTCAAGAGAAGGCTGGGACACGGGGTCAAACATGGGGGGATTGCACATGCGCAGTGTAACTTGAGCTGCGATGCTGGAGGGTGACAGCAGGGGCACTAGATAAAAAGCGCAGGATCCGCTCAGGCGATCAAGGAGTGCGCTTGGTACGGTCTGCTTGGACTTTTGGACGGCGGCTGCCTGAAGTTGTCGGAATTGCATCTCTGTCATTCTCACCCACAACACAGGCCACCAGTGACAGTCCAATAATAAGAAAATGACATGCTTGCACATCCCCCTTATTCCGCGGTCTCACGCCATCTACTGAGACTTTGAGGAAGTGCAGACCAGATTTTACTGCGCATGTGCAATCCCCCCATGTTTGACCCCGTGTCTCAGCCTTCTCTTGAATAGCCTTGCTCTCCGCCCTCTCCCCTCCACAGCTGCCTGGTGTTAAGCGGCTGTTTGGCGTGGCGTGGAGTAGGTCATGTCTCTGCTCCAGCCGGTGTTATGTGCGCGCTGCCGCGACCTGGATGCAATTCTAGGCAGGGGATCAAAACTCAGCATAACACTGGTACTCATTGTGACATCACTCATAGTATATTTGGACATTTTTTTGAGTTTTCTCGCTCGCTGTACAATGTAGTACAACTATCTGATATTCGCTCGCTCGTTCGCATTGCTTCCAGCCATCTTGAATGTTTACAAAACTGCCTCAGCAACGCTCCTCTGATGTCAACATATCAAACCCACCCCTATGTGGACCCCACGTTACCCTAAACCTTTAAGATTGGCCAGGTTGGCTCTGGTTAGCTCGCAACCGTGACTGAAATGTTCTGAATGGCCCAAACTCCAGACCATCCTATCAGTTCAAATTAAACATGAGTGCTGGCAGACAGTCTGGTTACCAGGCTAGGTGCAGTATGTTTCAAAATTTGTGGCCTTGGAGCAATAACTTTGATGGAAAGACATAATACCAGTGGAGCTAAAAACATGTAATTATGGATTTACCTCTTGAATGTCAGTACCCAACAAGCTAGTTGTGGGCGAATTTTCATTCTCCTCTTCATCATCTTCGTCTTCACAGTTGGAAGCATCACTCTTGTCATCTTCTGTGCTTAAGTGGTCAGCTTCACTGTTGTTCTACAGATTAATGAGGGGAAAAAACATGTCAAGAATGAAACGTCAATTCATATTTTTAAAAATGCAGGCTTTTCTTGTACTACAAGTAATATATGTTATAGCTGGTGGATGTCTGGATTATATTCTTAATCACTAAATGGTCATGAGCATCCTTCATAACTGACCACATTCTGCAAACTGCTATGACCATCTTCATTATCTTCATTTAACTTGCCAGCTTCTTTGCATTGCTGCATTTTAAGAAAAATAAAAAGAAAGACAGTGACATATCAATTCATAATAAGTAATTAAGAAAGACAGTGACATAGCAGCTCATAATAAATAAGGTTAATTAAGAAATACACAGTGACATAGCAGTTCATAATAAATAATTAAGAAAGACACAGTGACATAGCAGTTCATAAGAACTAATTTCTCCTGAAGCATATCATCTGATATATACTACGATTAACATTACAGCTGAGGCCAACAGGACTGTATGTCACATCAGCGGCACTTACTTTTTCCCATCTGGACTTAGTTCTCCTTGGAATTCTTCCAGTGTCGCCCTCCAAATATCTCTTGTAAGGTCCTGAACGTTTAGCCATTCTGTCTTGATTATTTCTGTAACGGGTATCAACGATTATTTAGACCAAAACGAGAGGAAACAATAGCCATGAATCCCCGCTTCTGAGGCGGCGTTGACCTCCCGTATCCCAGCATCCATTGCAGAATGCGCAATGCGCAATACAAGTCTCGCGATAGTAAACAGCAAGTTCATTTCGCTGCACACATCTCGCGATAGAAGATTATGGTCGCTTTTCGCGCTCATTCTCAGCAGTTGCAGTGGACGTTAACGGAGGGATACCACGGAGCAGCCGTTAGGAGTTAAAAATCGGTTATCCATCGAGATGGCTTATGCTATATATTTTTTTAAGGACAAAAGTGTTTAAGTGGGGAAAATCGACTGGATGTACACTGGGGACCAGGAAAAAACCTGTTCAAAAAACATTACACAGTGCCCCAATCTTGAGGATGAAGATGGATGGATGAGTGTGAAGTGGGACAAGGGCAAGAAAAAGAAAGACGGTCCAGCCTTTTTTCCGGCCAAAGTTTTAATGCTCGGCGGTAAGTCATGCAGCCTAAAATTATATGACTTCATGTGTCACATAACTAGCTTGATGGAATCAATGTTAACCTAAGTTAATTTAAGATTAGTGTTAGCATAACGTATCAGCCTGCTTATCAAGGTTGTGGGGATGACTGGACTTTAATAGTTTGTGCTATCATAGTTTGTGCTCATATATCATTATATGAGATGTTTGAATGGAAGCATACATTGTGTAACTTTTCCAAACTGACTTTTTATGCACTTTTTGTTTGCTCATTGTGCCAAAACTTTTTTACATAGACAACTACAGTGACCTCTGCAAAAAGAGGGAAGAATTTATAAAAGGTGAAGACATCTGGAAAAAAAAACTGCTAAGAGGAAGATAATGCCCAACAGCAAGTGGATGGAGAATGTGGAAGAAGAGAAGCCAACAAAACAGGTAAACAAACAGATAAACAGTAGACAGTACAGTGGAGAAGTGTAGTGTAAAAGTCAAAACCCTCATCAGATATTAGACCATATAAGTTGGATGAGATACAAATAGCTATATAACCATGTTAGTGTGTAGACGTTTGCAAAAACTAATCCTGCATTCATGTGTAATATGCAATATAACAGTGTGAACTCTTAGTGACCTCTCAGCTGTGAACTATTATTGACACACATAACCTATCACTCGCTGTGTAATGATATAATGCATTAACCTACACTCACATGATGTTGTGAACTTATAGTGACACTCATACAAGTTACCACGTGCTGTGTGAAGAAGATAGCACACTCACTTGATTGTACTGCTTAATGCACTTAGGAGTTTATATAAAGGTCACACACATTCAAATGATTGTGTCACGAGGAACTGTAGCATCTGAGTCACCAGGGATCACATGTTTTTCTAAAAATAAGAGCACGAGGGACTGTAGCATGTGAGTCCCCACAGATCACATGGGTTTTTAAAAAAAAGAGCGAGAGTGACCCCGGAAATACTGGTGGCAGATTCCAGCTTGAGCAGGAATAAAGGCAAAAGTCTGCTACCAGTAAAAACGGGTTGAAATGGGAAGGACTACAGAAATGGGTGGAGATCTCCTCGACCTCCACCAGCATATAAGCCAGAGCGCTGAGAGCAGTTTTTCAGTCGTCCTCCGGAGGCTGACTCGTGAGTTTGTCTGTGTTGTTGCCTGTGAACACAATAAACTCGATTGCACCAGATTCTGCCTATCTCCAGTGTTTTTCTAAGTATCTGCCAGCCGAACCTAAGATACTGAATTGACAGCAAAAGACATTTTAGAAGAAACAAGGAGGACGAGGTCGGGAGCCGTCAGGCCCAATTCCAGGCACCGATTTCAGTCACCTCAGAAGCTCTTGATTCTTGCAGAGAAAAGCATGCAATGCAATACAGAAATGACATGTTTACTTTTTTCTTCATGTCATAGTGAAAAGTAAAACCTTCCATTTATTCTTCTGACCTCACTTGATCTCTTCATCAAAAAAACAATAGGGAATGGCAGGGTTCCCACGGTCATGGAAAACCTGGGAAAGTAATGGAATTTTAAAGTAATTTTAAAGTAATTTTCCAGGCCTGGAAGTCTTGAAATTAAGTAAAATCTTCAAAGGTTTTGGAAAAGTCATGGAATTTTGTCGTCTGTGATTTAATTAATTAATTAATTAATTAGTAATTAATTAATTTCACAGTAATCATCCTAAACATACTCAAGGACCTCTAAGACCTCCTCTAGGACCCCTAAAGCTTCATCTAGGACCCCTTAAATTTCAACTAGGACCTCTAAAATTTCAACTAGGACCTCTAAAACTTTTCCAGGACCTCTAAAACTTCTTCTAGGACTCCTCAAACCTTCTCTGGGTCAGATAAAAACCTTCTCCAGGACCCCTTAGAATTCATCTATCATCTATCTGGCCAGAAATATTTTTTTTACCTAGCATTTGTATGTAAAATGGATAGCAAGATACAATATCCAGGTAGCAGTGAGGACACCATGACCACAGATTACACAATTGACAAATGCAAAATCTTGACTTTGTTACTTTGGTTTATTTTGTTAAATTATGTTGCTAGGTAAGAAATATCTGGGACCAGTGACGTCCTGGTTGCTCAGCTGGTAAAAAACATATCATGTTACCACATGTTTCTGACCTCAGGATCTTTACTGCATGCCATTCCCTCTCTTTCCCCCTTTTCCTGTCTATCTTGACTGTCTCTATCAGTAAGAAGTTTGAAAAAAAAAATCTGGTACCACTCTGATAAGTACTAAATATTTTATTTCAGCACATCCCTACTATTAACCTTTTAACTGTAATTTTGACAGCAAAAGACCAAAAAGGCAACCTGTCCTGCAAAAGAGGCCTCAGACCAAATGATTGAGGGCTTGAAGAAGGAGCTGATGGCAAAACAAGCAGCTTTAGAGGTAAATTATTTGAATATTTACAAGCTTTAGAGTTTAAGTCAGTCATTTTGAATTGAAGTAATAACTTGTACGTAGGGTTGGGCGATTAAAAATCAAAATCATGATCAATTGAACTTTTTCGATTATGTTTAAGGGATAATGCCTGATGAGGTGTCCATTATCAGGTTTTAATGGATGACGTGGAGCCGTGAACCGTCTGAAGCAAAGTCCATTAAAACCTGATGATAGGACACCTCGAAGGGCATTATCCCGCTTATACCATGGTCACTTAACAAAGAAATAAATATTAAATCAGTTATTTATGCTTTAATGTGTTTTACAGTTAAAATAATGAGGGGAAAAAATCATAAATCATCTAATGGAATAATCAAAGTCTGTATAAACCCACTTAGAAATATATTTTGGTCCACATTTAAAAAATATTATTAAGCACACCACACCTCTGTGACCTCTGAACCTGTGTGACCAGCGACATCAGTCACGTTCGTGTGTACAGGTGGGGGGTCCCCAAGGAAAAAAGGTTTGGAACCACTGCTCTAAATGACAGTTTTGATTATTTTTCGATTATTTGCCCAGCCCTGCTTGTATGGGACTTATGGTGCCACAGAGACTGCAGACTATTTCATGTAAATTGATTGTAAATGTGTGCCTTGTGCGCACCAGTTGTGTTCTTTTGTACGCCCAAGACAAATTTCTTCTACAGGAGACAATGAAAGGCTAATCATCAAATCATCATCAATCAGCTTGTGTTTGATACAGTATAATTGTGTGCGTGTGTCTTGTAGCCAACTTCTGAATCTGAGGAGTCATTAAATGAGGACCCACTGCCCAGAAACTGGAGTAAGGCCCAGCTGCAAATAAAGGAACTTCAAGCAGAGAACAAGAGGCTTAAAAAAAGCCAATATGAAAGAGATACTGGATGCAATGAAAGGTAAGTTTATGAAATTAGAAAAAAAGAAGTTAAACAGTCTGTTCATGTAGAGACATGACCCACCATAACTGCATGACAAGTAGTTTCAGATGATCTTGATAAAAACATGTATAAATGTTTTATATTTAGCTTACTTAAACTTGCACAAGCCCTTATTTTATTTTATTGTATGATGTTTGGAACCTGTCTCAACAAGCAGTCATGGGGCTTAAAGGTTTTTTCACCCTTGTCTTATAATCATTTATATCTTCATTCTCTTAACAGAGCTTCCACAAGTAGTGGAGACGTTGAAAGGAATTATTGAGAACCTCCCAACCTCAAGCCATGCATCCATGTCATCCTGGTCCATACAATCTATGGACTCACCAATGTCTGCACATGCCTCTCCTCAAGTGGACTCTGATGACATGGTAAATACCTCACATAGAAAGCTATGTTAGAATCCATGTGTGTAAATGCTGATTGTAAGAGTTACCGTCTTTGCCATGTGTGGCAAAACTCTGACTATTTATCTATTTGAAGATCAAGGAAATCCACTGTTAAAAAACAAAGTAAAAAAAAAAATCACTAAATGCATGATGTTTCCAAAGTCAATAAATAATCGTGTTAAATAATCGCGATCTCAATATTGACCAGAAATAATTGTGATTATGTTTCATAATCGAGCAGCCCTACTTCCCAGCTTATCTGAGTTATGTTGTATGGTTGTGCTCTATAGATTTAATTGCAAACTACATCTCATCAAACTACAACAAATCCCATAGACATTATCAGGCAGATATGTTTATTAAAACTTTCAAAGCAAACTTGGGATACAGAGTAGAAAACTTGACATAGGAGCTGTGCAAAAATTACCCAATTGCAATTGCAATTTTCAATGAAGGAAGGCTAGCAGCAGAATCAAGACTCATTTGGAGTGTGTTTATGACTAAACAGTGCGCACTGAGCATCAAGTCATCTCACCTGATCTACATATTGCGTGTTTTTCCAAAGCTTCATATACACACCTAACTGATCATACACCTAACCGTATCCCCGCTGGCATTTCTTTCAAATAATTGCCACACAGTGCTTTGATTGTTGCTGGTTGCCATTGCGTTTACAACTCAACTATAAGAAGTCACATGATATTAACAAGTTATTAATGTTACTTA